AATGTTGTATGGTGGACTCATTTACTGGACGCCTCCTTGTGGCGTCCGCTGGGTGGGAGTTGGATTAGACCCTTCTAGCTATGAGCCAGGACACACACAATTCCATGTGAGCCGGTTCACCGACTCATGGCGCACGACCCGCTTTATTTTGAGTGAAAATTTTCTCGAAGGCTTTGGTTGAGGACCCGAGTCGTGAGCTTGTTCAGGTGTGGACGACCTGGCATTACCAGTCAAAAACCAAACTATGGAATAAACAAATACGGATAATGTCACGTTACATAGGCTCTCGCGCAGTAGTGGGGGGCGAAAAGCGTCACCTTATCTGTTGCATACATCGGAGTGGATAAACGAAAGCCTGCTGTCGCTGACGCCTTCCTTAGTTTTTCTTCCCCTGCACATAAGCTCCTCCTCCCCATTTCAACTAAACTCCTAATTCCTCAAATCCAACTGACCGCGCTTGTGACTGTTCGCCACAGCAATCGCGTGCCTCCGCGCAAAGCACACAAGATCGGGTGCTGAAATGTACGCAAACTACTCGACCGGAACTTGAGTGAACGCCCTGAGCGACGCAGTGCACAGGTGTCGACGGAACTCGCGCGCTACGTCATTGAGGTTGCCGCACTGTATGAGACCCGGCTCACTGAACAAAAAGCTGCATGAGCAGGTGTTGGGTACACGTTCTACTGCGTAGGAAACGTCAGCAGAGCACCATGTGAACAAAGGGTCGGATCTGCACTGCCCGACCGCCTAAATGGTCAGCTGGTGGCAGAGCCTACTGGCATCAGCACACGATTGAAGCCTGTCAGCCCACGACTTGAAAGATATAAATTTGCCACTTTTATTAGTACATATGGTCCCACTATATATTATCCTGATGACAGGAGAATCAGTTTTACACTTAGTCTTTCCCCATGATACGGTCTGTGCCGAGAAGCGCACGTTGGGCGTGATGCAACAGTGTGAACAGACGGCAACGGTCCGCATGGTATTGGCACGTGCAACGGGAACGACGACCGGCCGGTCTCGCTGTGTGCTACTCACGGCCTGACGATCACAAACACACTGTTTGCCCTGGGTGCGAGTGACATAGCTGCTTGGTCGAAACCACGGATTGACCACGTTCATCTGCTCGACTATGTCATCGTACGCTAGAGTGACAGGCGTGAAGTGCGTGTGACACAACTACTGTGTGGAGCTGAATGTGGCACTAAGCACAAGTTGGTGCAAAGCAAATTGTACATATAATTTCCTAAATCTATGTATAGCACTCCTGTCGTGAACCGGTACAAATTTAATGTTAATTCCGTAGGTATTGATGAGAAGTGGCTGGAACTTGAGAAGGCGATGGATACTCACCTTGGCGAATGCACGGGGATGAAGAAGGCGAAGCAGATGGAATGCTATGCCAAATGCCACCTAAGGATTGCTTTGATTCCTTAGGGCAGGTTATGGTCCCATGTTACAGCCGCTGAGGACGCTGCTGGATGATACTTCAGGCGCTGCCTGCACACAGACTGCAGACATAATACAGATCTGAGGAAAGCACTTTGATTGTCTCGAACAGGCGTTCACAGATTGACTGGGATATTTTACACAGGCTGTAACAACAAGAGATGAACATGTGTCTTGCTGGCACGTCGACACAGGGCGCAGATGCTTAGCTGCGAAACTGCAAGTGCGCTGGAGTTGATGGGATACTGCCAGAAGTGTCGAAACACGGCGGAACCGCGTCAGTAAAGGCGCTGTCTCACTTGGCGCAACGCGTGTAGATTGAAGAGGAAGTACCGGCTGAGTTGAAGAATGCCCTTGTGCTACCACTGTATGAGAGCAAAGGGAGAAAGCCATGTGTCATGACTTGTCCTGGTAGCAACTTTCTGAGGTGTGTTGGTAAAGTGATCACGCGAACCCCGCTCAACCGCCTCGTCACTCAGGTCGTTGAAACTAACGCAGCGGAAGAGCAATGCGGATTCCGTTCTGGTCGCAGCATCATTGATATAGTGTTCGCGGCTTGTCAGATGTAGGAGAAATGCAGAGAACGACACCAGGCATTGTGCTCGTCGTTGACTTACGCAAGGTATTTTACACGACAAACCGCGAGGCACCGTGGCTGGTGTTGGGTAAGTTTAGTTTTCCTAGTCAGTTTTTAAGCATAATTGAATGTTTGCACAGTGGTATGCAAGTGACAATGCAGCTGTTGTCACCAGGGTGAAGCGACGCTCTATCTTAGCCCCTACCCTGATTGATATAACCGCAATGCAATTATGTCCTATACTTTTGATGCTGCTTGTGATTACGGTGTCCGTGTGAAACGCCGTGTTGATGGTGCCTTATTGTCTTGGAGCTGGAACCCTAGTGTAGGAGAAACGCATATGCAAGTTGTTGTTTGCACACAGCGCGGATGGGTTGCACACATGATTTCGGCTGTCGCATTAACAGCGGCCCAGTTCGGACTCACTGTCAACACAAGCGAGACTGTTTATTTTGTTCAGCTTTCACAAGGAGGGAAATCACTGTGCCTGTCCCAGATCCAGATTACTAACGGCATTTTGGACAACCACCTCCAGATTTTGTTACCTGGGGAGTGTTCTCTCGACTGATCTTCAGCTGCTGAGCGAGATGCCCGTCCGCGTATCGAAGGCGGCTACTGAAGTTGGCAAAGTGGAACATCGTGTGTGGAGGAATCACAAGCTTACTGTTGGCGCAAAACATGTTGGCAGCGAAACATGGACGGTCTATCAGAAGGACGTCTGTTATCCATCTACTGTGTCTGCGTCGGATTCTGCGCATCGGCTACGGTGAACGAGTCTCAGACACGAAAGTGCTGCGCCAGCGGCATGTATGCAGTGTACTGCGTAGTTCTGGGGTGGATCGGGCATATCAGCCACATGGATTCGACGCGGATACCCAAGCAGTTGCTATATGGATAACTTAGTGCAGGGAAGTGGAAAGCAGGAAAACCGAAGTTACATTACCAGGACATTAAGAGGGTGAGGTTATCACGAACTAATCTTGGTTTCAGGTGATGGGAATCAAAGGCAGTTGGTCGACACGAAGGGCGTGGGCTTATCAATTGGGTGGTTGCTCAGGTACAGATGGAAGCACTATTGCATGCGGAAATGAGACGCCAAGTACAGAAGCGACAGGCGCCTATGGAAGTTATCCACAGAACGCGTGGTGCTGTAGCGAATGTGGTCACTAGTGCCAGAGCCAAGCAGGATGGGCAAGGCACCAGTGTAGCCACGCGGGGTCAACATTTTAAAGAAGACGAGTCAACTGCATAAGTGATCATAATCAGCACAGCGAGTGGTAAGTACGCTGTTTCCGATTCCATTGCATTTACTACCCCAGGCAAATAAGGCGGTTGATGTGGCACTTGTGCTACATCATTACTGTGGTTGGTCTGTACGTGCGCCTTTTGCGTTTGTTTAATTTCGTGTATTGGTTGTTGATTGATATCCCCACTGCGTCTGAGACTGACGTAAATTTTGTAAAGATGCCTACTTGTCTATCACCCCCCACCTCGTCTATATTGGCTCCAGGAGACTGCGGATCGTTGCTGGGGAAGGAAGAGCTGCACGCTTCCCGTGACCGTGTTGGGCCCAAAGGGTAATCCCAGGCATCCAGAGTGGAGCAGGCTATGGCCAAGCTAGGCTGACAGGAAAGTTACTGCTGTGCGTGTTGATGAAAAGTCGCCCCAATCTACATGTCTTCAGATTTTATTCCTTCGAGTTTACCCCCGATATGGGGTGTGTGGATGGAGCCATCGGTCGTGCAGCGCAAGTTACCCATGGTCTCTATGTAGGCTCAGGCACCCTTTGGTTGTATCCATGGAGGCCACAATGACAGGCAAATCCGGAACTAGATGCCGCCAACGATATACGGTTGATCGAACCGCTCCCAAGAGTTAGATGTACCTAAGGGCCCGGTGGAAGAAGGATCGAGGGTATCGATCGGTGGCCGAGTGGTCTGTACTCTTGGCTTGCAATCATAAGGTCACCGGTTCGAATCCGGGTAGGGGTGGGCGCCCTCGTGGTATACTCAGCCCACACGCGACTGGTGTGGTCGCGTGGCAGCGAAGCGCCGTTACGGCTTACAGCTGACATATCATTTTCTTTAGGTCCGCGTTTTGGCGGCAAATTCCCGCAGGACTAATATTAACCTAATAGTGTACTCATGTATACATTCACACACGTTCTCCAGTGCGAACCCGGGAGAATAGAATGGCTGATTTGGGTTCCCATAGAAGATGCACTGTACTCACTACTCTAATGAAATCATTTAAGACAGGAAAGAATAGTTGCATGAATCCGACTGGAAATCACTTTCAAAAGCCCCAGGTAGCGAGATACCGACGTTTACTTAAGCTTAAACTGTGGTTGACATTAAGATTACGCTTTGAAGTTCAGCATTTAAAAGTATGCAAATATCCGGTAATAAACGTTTAACCATTATGATTGGCGGTACTCGCTGTATCGAATGGTAAAATGTTAAATACCTCTGTTTGGAACCATGTGATTAGTGGTTCGAGTCCAGAGAGGGCAAAGAGAACCCAGGCAACAAGAAAAACTGTCAAGGAACACGATGTTGTGAGCAAGTAATAGCCAAAAGATTTACTACACCAAATTGATCGTAGTTTTCTTCCAAGTAACTTGAGATCAACCGTCACAACCCAAAGCTCCGCAGTGGATTCTTAACCAGTGTGACATAACTCATTCGTAGGATCGGAGAGCCCAAGGAAAATGCGCCTATCGGAAAACATGGTATCCGGGGATCTAGACTTGACGTGCCTGCAGCTACGTGAAGAGACGTAATAAGGGCGAAACCCGTCGCAGGGTGCGATGCTGAGAAGAAAGGACGTCGTTAACTCGTTACTTTTGCAAATTTTCATAACGAAATTAGGGCTGGAAGTTATCGACCTACAGATGACGATATGCATTTGCCAGAGATTCGCAACAGAGGAACGAGACACTTTATACCAACTAGGTGGGAAATTCTCTTACTTGGAAATCTTGCGGCTTTGTCGAGTAGGGTTCACGAACTTTGCGACTCAGCACTTGACCGCCTCCGCCAGTGGCCGCCGTAACATCACTTGGCATGACGATGCCAGCGTCTGTATCGTACTGTTCCACCGTCTCTTGGCCAAGATTATCCACAACTTGGCTGGCATCCTCACCTTGGACAATTACCGTACCTGTGGATTAGAAGACGGTTTGAATCTGCCCCATGTTGGATATGAAAATACACGATACAGCTAGTCAGTGGATTTTAAGAAATTGGTTCACAGTACAGATATACAAGTCCAGGATTAAAACTGTATTCGCATTATTCAATATAGAAGTGAAGACTGTGAATTCCGTCACTGTTAATAATAAATGGAGAAAGGGGGTATAAATCTAGTGACATTGCAGATGTTTCGAAACTGCATGAACCAAACCGAGACACTGCGAAGCAATGGGAAATGTGTCCTGGAAGGAGTTTTTAAAGATACAGTGGTGGCATGTCGCCAGTTTCGAACTTCAAGTAGCATACTTTTGTTTTATCTTTCGTAGTAGATGAAGACGATGAGCAGGCGAAAAAAGGCATCAGCAGTACGCCGTTATGCTGTACCGACGCTTGCCTGTCGCGCAACCACCACCGGTTGCACGTGGGCTAAGGATACTGCGACGTTCAACGAATCACGGGCAATGCTGATTTTCAACACAGCAAATATTCCCATTGTAATCAGATGAATCAAGACCAGAAAACAGTTCAGAGTTAAGATATCTTTTCGGTAAAATCTCGTCAGACCCAAACTTTTACATGACACGGATTATGTGGGGTAAGCGTCAAATCGGGCTGGGATTGATTTCTAAGATGTTTGAAAGGTCAAGATCTAGTCTAGTGAATAGCTGTCATGAATAGGTTAAGGCAAAACCATCTATTAATGGTATTATTTCAAGGGAGCAAATTCAGGCAATTAAAGAGTTACGGTTAAACAACGAATTAATTATCTCTAGACCAGACAAAGGATCCGGCATAGTGTTATTAGATAGGGTGGATTATATCTGTAAAATGCAACATATCCTCAGTGACGAACGTAAGTTCCAGAAGCTTATGGCCGGAAAGGGCAACACAGGGGAGTTAGAGAAACAGTTGGCCGGCTGCCTCAAGCGAATGATGCAAGTCAAACTGATCACAAAGAACGAATACGAAAAGTTGAAGCCTTCAGGTGGACACCTACCGAGATTATATGGCCTTCCAAAAGTTCACAAGGAAGGCGCCCCAATGCGTCCAATCTTGGACATGGTGGGTTCTCCCCAGCATTTGTTGGCCCAATGGATGGTGAACAAATTGCAACCGTTACGGGATATGGTTTGCACTTACTGCGTGAGAGACTCCTTCGAATTCATTGAGAAGATATCTGGACTCAACTTTACTAACAAAAGGATGATATATTTTGATGCCCAGTCGCTGTTTACAAACATTCCCCTGCTCGAAACGGTGGAGTACGTGTGCGAGTTGACCCGGCAACTACCAATATACGCTAACTTTCCGGAGGATCTGCTAAAGGAGATACTATTTCGCTACACGTTAAATGTTCAATTCATGTTCAATGGTGAGATGTACCGTCAAATTGATGGAGTGGCCATGGGATCTCCTTTGGGGCCGTTGTTGGCTAATATCTTTATGGCGAAATTAGAACATGGCCCACTCAGGACGCACATCTGTGGAACTGAAATGCACATACGGTACGTCGATGACACCTTCGTGCTTTGCGAATCCGAAAAGCATGCAGAACAGTTGCTGAAGGCCTTTAATGATGCACATGATAATCTACGCTTCACCTGTGAGCACGAAAATAAAAACCGTTTACCTTTCTTGGATGTAGAAGTCATCCGCAATTCGGACGGCTCATGTAGCAGAAAGGTACACAGAAAGCATACGTGGACTGGACAGTACACTAACTTTCACAGCGCGGTGCCTTTACAGCACAAGAGGAGTTTAATCCGATCTCTTGCCTTCAGGGCGCGCAGTATTTGCACTCCGGATACCGTCAACGAAGAGCTACAGAAAATCAGCGACACCCTTCGTGAGAATGGTTACCCCGATAAGTTTATCATGAAGCATATGAAAGAACGCAAGCGAAAGCCACCTAGAAGCATTGCTCCCAAGAAAGAGCTGTTCATACATTTACCATTTAAGGGCGATACTGCAGCTGATATCCTATCTCGACGTTTGAAAGATGCTGTTGAGAAAAATTATTTCGCAGCCCGCTTAAGAATTGTTTACCACAACAAACCATTGCTTGCAAAACCCTTGAAAGATAGTCTGCCATCGTTGACCCGTTCAATGCTCGTTTATCAGTACCCGTGCTCTTGTGCTGCATGATACGTGGGTCGCACAACGAGACGTCTATCCCAGAGGATTCGCGAGCACATCCCGGCGTGGTTTTACAAAGGCGAAATGAGGGCCTCAGAAAGCTCAATCATGTCGCACCTCCTCGAAAGTGGCCATACTGCATCTGAGAATGACTTTAGTCATCTATTCACTACCTGAACGCTTATCACAAGGCTTCCGAAAGCAAATCTTGTCTATCGCCGAGGCTATTTACATCCATCATCTGAAGCCGGAATTATGCGTACATAAACGATTCATACGGCCGATACTACTACCTTGGCCGACTGACATGGTTACTTAACTACCCTTTGTGACCTTAGCTATTTACTTTAGGCCCTGAAGCTTGTATTAATTTCCTTTGATGCACTTTTCCTACCATCTGTAGCCACCTTTAGTCATCGATCTTGACCTTTCAAACATCTTAGAAATCAATCCCAGCCCGATTTGACGCTTACCCCACATAATCCGTGTCATGTAAAAGTTTGGGTCTGACAAGATTTTACCGAAAAGATATCTTAACTCTGAACTGTTTTCTGGTCTTGATTCATCTGATACTGCGATGGTCGTCCGGTCCGCCACACAGGCTGGAACCCGCGCCCTCAGATTACAAGACAAGCTTGTGATTTTAAAGGTTTCGGTGAGGGAACTTCTAAAATCCTAAGCTCTGCATGACTATGGAGATGACAACTGGTACTTTCAAGTAGACATTTTGATAACTCCTCAGTGGAGGTAGGCGACTAAGCGACGATGAGCGTTCCACAAACTGGGAACAAGAAGTAAACCAGATGCCGAGTGCAGAAATTATTTAGAATAAATTCTCTTCAGGTTCCTACTTCATATGTTGTACCTAATCAGCTAGATTAATGCTTGATTTTTGCGTTATCCAATTCAGCAGTCTAATCAGTATTTGGATGGTGTGTCATAAATGGACTGCTAGGTAAAATAATTGTAACACTTCCCAGGATAGCTTAAGAACAACAGCTTGTGGAATATAGCAATGTGTAGGATGAATCGTTGGACTTGTTAGTCAAAATGTCATATGCGCTGCTTCTGAACAGACAATTTCAGCTTCATGTGGCGGATAACCAGTGTCTTCGAAATTTGAGTGGAATAGGTTCCGAAATCAAAGAAATCACTTCGCACTTGTCTTTGAAGGTAGTTTGCGGCTGTTTGAAAACCTTGGCCAGCTTTCGGTCTGGAGATTTCTTCGGTTTGTTTGAGTTTATTATGCGAAATTCGGTACAAAATTACCATCTTATTGTACACTACGACGGTGTTTGCAGAATGCTGAAATTCATATGAAATTTACTTGTCTGACCAAATACACGGCGCCAGAGTTGGATTCCGCACACGGATTAAACGCGCGGTTCCTCACATCCTTCCCTAGTTAGCTGCGCCTTGTCCAGTGTCGTAATTTTTACCTATACACGGGGCTACTGTACACCCAAACAAAAAACACTCGTTCCGTTTCTTACGTGCTGTTTCTCCACATAATGCCGACAGTTGGGGGGATACTCCAATTCTCGCTATAGAGACCGGTTAAAGGACACGATTCCCAGTTCGGCCGCGAATTATCTCTTCCCAACTGCTTTTCTAAAATTTTAGGGCACGCTGTCAGCTGTGCAATCAACCCTAACTGATAGGCACGTGAAACTCACGTCTTTATCTGCACTGTTGCCAAGGGGATCCTGGATTAATTTAGCCGGGTGTAAGTTTCCTCTTAACGCATCGCAAACAAGCGTTGGGAGCTATGAATGCGGCGACTCGGGTTAAAGTTCATTTTACACTAACGGCGTTGCACTATAAACTGTCGATTCTACGTGCGTTTCTCTTGAAATTTAGTCCACAAGAGCATTTGGTACTTCCCATAAATTATTAGCTCAAAAAATGCAGCTGGTGTACAACTTCGTGCATATAGCAAAATTGGACATTATTATATGCATCGTTTAAATCTTCTCCTAGTTGTGCAAGTTATCCTACGCATTTACAAATTATGGTGTGTTTTAGCATACTGAAGCACAGTTGACAACAAAGATTAGAAAGAATCCCCAAGCCCAGTCTACCAAGGGGACGGTAAATTCCCAACTGAAAGTTAGCTGTGCGTTAAAGGAGCATTTCAATATAAGCAACTGAGGTAAATTTTCGGGACACTTTAAGAATGTACATTGGTCGAACTTGAGTACCTAATATTCCACGTTCTAGCAACGGAGTAGTTGTAAAATGGCGACTGATCAGCGGAAAAAGGTATAGTTTTTGTTTTCGATGAAACTGTGTTGCTCTTGAGGAAAGTGCGTATCATTTTCAAGTTTCATTTCATCCGCTCGGTTAACCAAAGTCGGGGGAACTGGTCACGTCCAAGATAGGACGCATTGAGGGGCAATCCTTGTAAACAATAGGAAGTTTGTAAATTTTTAAAAGCTGTTCAATAAAACACATAAGATCCAAGAAATGGCGTTCGTATAAAACATACTTGTGAAATCCGCCTGACGTAACCGGTTTAAAAAGTTCTAATTTTTCAGCCCTGCGGCACCTCGACGACAGACGCCCAATCGCTTCGCATTTGGTACATTTATCCGTGCGTCATTTACTAATCCCATCAAACCTAACCCAGAGCCCTTATCTGGATTTCAAATAACTGGATACTTGTTTACCATCGTTCCATAAGGGACCGGGGTTGTTGCATTGTAAAAATAATACCGCGTGTTTTGTTAATCTAGTCCGGAGTTAGGAACGGCTGCACTCAGGTGATGACGGACAACCACTACGCCGAAGTGCTAACTGTCCAATGGAGCAAATTACTTTGCCGGCAGGGGT